GTTTAGAAGAATCAAAGAAAAAGATAAAAAGAAAAATTGTATTTGGAAGTCCAAAATGACATTAGACATATGCACATCAAAGAATCAGATATTTTATAGAGATTTTAATAATAAGTACAAATTTTATTTACATTTTTATAGGTTTTGAAACTTCGATATTTGGTCTCTTAAAGAGCTACACAGCGCAATTGCTTTGACAAAAAAAATTAAAATAATTAAGAAAAAATGTAATTATCTAAAAAAGTTTTTTTTTCAAAAATCCTTAAATATCTATTATCTTTAATTGTGTTAGTTATAATGTCCTAAGCGCGACCCATCATTCCAAAGTTTGATGTATTTTTATTACTCAATCACTTTTGAACTATAATAATTTAGGATGTTTGTTTTGAATTTTAGATCATGAACTCTATTGCCATGCTAAGTTTCAATAAAAAAGCACGTTAAAAAAGCTGTTAAATTTCATTATATTTACCACGTATTTATGTAATGTAATTTATGTAATTCACAAACTTTTTGTTTAGAAAAAGATTATGTGAATTATTAAACAAAAATTATTTCCACTTGTACTGGCGTTGATTTTGAGATATATTTTCCATTGAGTTCTCATGTTCATGAATTAACTAACAAAAATTGTAACAATCGAAACAGTATAGTTTGTTATCTATAGATGGTGTAATATTATCCTCTTTATCTGACTATAGTGAAAACAAATTTGCATTCTCGACATCACCATATATCATATAGCATATATTTCGCCTAAACTTTATCTGAAATTTAATATAATTCAATGTTCATTTGTGATAACACAAGTTTGTGTATCTCAAATTTTGAATAACAGATATTTGTGGATTATTAATGAGTATAAAAGAAAACGAAGCAATTATGCCACTTTGAATCAGTTTCTGTTTTATCATTAAAAACCAATAAAGAATTTTAGAAAAAGAGTGTCATAAGGTTCACACGCCATTGAAGTAAAACTTATTTGCTACTGTACAAGATGGTATTTAGGCAAAAATAACAATTTTGAATAATGTTTATTAGTAATGTGGTAACACTTGTGATGCACACATTTATTAGCGTCAACCATTATACACATTTATATAATGATAAATTATGAATTATATATTTATAATAGCATTAAAAATATGTATAATATTCAAAAATAATAATGTAATTAAAGTCAAACTTCAAATATGACATGATCGGTTTGTCATTGTAATTAGCATTTTGAAATGAACCTTCATTAGAGAAATAAAGTAATTGCTGATTAATAATTTCTATAATATTCGTTTACACAGTTGATTGTGTTAAACAACGCCTAAACAAATATTGTTTTTGCAACTTCACTTATCATGTAATTGTGATTGAAGAGCTTCATGTAATTAAAATTAACATACATTCATTGACTTTTGGTTGTACTTTTTCGCTGGTGATATAATCTCATTCTTGGAACAGCTGTAATATCTGTCTTGCCTAAAAATATTTTCCATTTTAATAACTTCAAAGATTTATAGAAACTACGAATAATATAGAAATAATTTCTAATCAATAAACTTACGTTTAGTACACGGCACAAATGTTTAATTGGTTTTATTATTTTTAAGGAACAGGGTAAAATATTTTTTTGATTCAGGCATTTTTCATTAAATCAAGATTAGTACTACGATGTAACTTTAAAATGTTTATTTATCTATGCCGATTTCCTTGTTGGTATCGGTACGCATACAACATCGAAGCCGGTACCCATACAAGGACAGATCTCTATTCACATACACGACAACTAATCACAATCGACCCGTATAGAAATGATATCATCGAGGGCGAATAACGAATCATTGGCACTCGACTCTTATCTTATGGACTCTTATCTGCCGTAACGCACTTCCGTTGCATTTGTACGGATTTACACCCAAGTCGAGCCTAAAGAAGTTTTACTTCAAAAGTTATTTGGCAGATCCTATGGAAAAAACTTAAATATATACTTACTACACTATATTAATGATCTACTCCCTTCAGGAACGAACCTCAGGGAAATTAAACTTTATGGTAGCTTTCTGCAATTACCGGGTGTTGCTAATAATTTTATAATTCTCCAGAGTAATCAAATATTTTATACAATACACAAATGTCATAGTAAAGCCATTTTTGAATTTCATCTATATAATGGAGTTATACAAAAGCGATTAAATAACTATTCGTGTCATGCAAAAGCAGTCAAATAGGTTGATACGTTACAAAGTAGGTCGCAGTACTGTTGCATTGCACATGGAAAAACTGAATATTTGAGCAGAGAAATGACAGATTTATGAGTGATATTGTCAATATTGTACAGAGATTGTTTTATTTATTGGCATTCAGTATCTTATTAATTAATTAACAAGAACAATATTGTTAACTATATCTCATAAGTAATACTAGTTTTATTTACCTAAGGAAATAAATAATAAAAACAAGTCCAAAATAAAGTAAAATTACGGATGGCCAATTTTTTTTTATTTCTATGTAACAAAAATTATTGTCATTGTTAACTTCCCGAAGGAGATATTTATGTTTTTATAAGAAAATCCGATTCGCTAAATGGAATGAAACCAAATTCGGAAATAGTATATGTGTGTGTGAACAGACGACGTTTTCTCAAAAACGGCTGGACCGATTTCAAAAATTTAAAAAACATTCGATGTATCACGATTGCGCGACGATCAGCCAAGCCGTTTCTTTGTAAATCGCAGAAAAGTGAAAATTTTTTCGTCCACGTTTTAGCCCGCAATTCTGAATCGATTTTGAAAATTCAAAAACCGTTCGATAGATATTGATTGGGAATCGTGCTGATTAGTTTTTGGTAAAGATCGGCCGGGCCGTTTTCTTGTAATAAAGTTTTTAAAAAAAAAAATTCGACGATTTTTATGATTTTTTTTTGACGGTAGATACCATAGTCTTGTAGATCATACTAAAATATTACGACCCTACGACAAGTCGTTTAATTTTGAAAAATCGTCAAAGTTTGCAAAAATTAGTATCGTTTCTTTGACATTTGACAAAATTAAACCTTTGATCGACGTTTTCTCAAAAACGCCTGAACCGATTTTAAAAATTTAAAAGCCAATTGATATATTTCGGTGTGGATTATCTTTTCTCAGTTTTGTGCGACGATCGGCTGAGCCGCTTTTATGTAAATAGTAGAAAAGTAAAAATTTTTCGCCCACGTTTTAGCTCTCAATTCTGAATCGATTTCAAAAAACTCTTTGAAAGATATTGGCTGGTAATGATACTGATTAGTTTTAGGTAAAAATTTACCGAGCCATTTTCTTAATATTAACTGTTGAAACAAATTTTTTTGCCTATTTTTATGAATCTTTTTTTGCAATAGATATCATGGTCTTATAAAACATACTAAAATAGATAGATAGTTTAATGTTAAAAATACATCAAAGTTTGAGAAAATATTATTGTCAAAATTTGTGTCAAAAGTTGCTTTTGTGATGTGATGACTCAAACTTTATCAATTCTATAAATTTAAAATAATAAGCTACAATTTTAGGGCATAGAAGCACTATAGTGTCTGTGCAATATAATTAATATAATTACAAGTAATTTATATGTAGTTATGAAATTATTTAAAACTCTCCTTTGATTAACTCAGGTTGTTGGGTTATAATTAAACCCTTCTAGCTGTGGACAGTATTAAATACCTACGTTATAATGAAAGAAAATATATTTATCTTTTATTTATTATTCATGTTGTTAAGCGGACTTTACTTTTAGAAGTGAACAATTATTCGCATTAAACTCTCCGCTACTCCTTCTACCAGGGGAGTAACTAGCAACCGTTCTGTGTAAAACCTCAATGCCATGAAGATTGTCACCTTCATGGCCAATACAATAAAACGACAATACGTCCGAACAGATATGTTTGAGAAAATTCTATTCAAAATCGCAATGTTTAGTTATAATTGAAAGCGATTACTTTATTTTTAAAATAAACGTTGAAAATTTGTCTAAATATCTAAATTTCAATTTCGAATGATTAAGTCAATTCTGACACATTTCGGGAAGTTCATGCAACTTGCCTTAAGGCTAAATACCACTTTAAACTAGTTACAGTAAAGTTTTCTGATTGCGATATCGTGTTAAGATTTACTTTTATTAAAATATAATATAGGAGATCAATACTAAACCTATTATATATATATATATATATATATATATATATATATATATTAGGGTGGTCCTTAAAATGATCATTTTCGAATTTTCTTGCTCCCAGGGGCTCAAATGGTTCCAAATTGATAAAAAACAATTTTCTGAAAGTTTTAGTTCTTAATATTAACGTTTAGATAGCGCGCAATTTAATCAAACTTTGGATGGAAAGAGCATGGAAAAAAATTTGAAAATTAAAAAAAATGTTTTAGGTATAACTTAGCGACAAATGAATGAGTTTTATTAATTAATTTGTTCGCTAAATTGCATCTAAAAAGCATTTTTAAAATTTTTGAAAATTTTTCCATGCCATTTCCATACAAAACTTTGCGCTCTATCTAAACGTTAATATTAAGAGCTAAAACTTTCAGAGAATTTTTTTTTATCTATTTGGAACAATTTGAGCCCCTGGGAGCAAGTAAATTCGAAAATGACCACTTTAAGGACCACCCTAATATATATATATATATATAGATATAATATATATATATATATATATATATATATAATATATATATATCAGCCTAAAAAAAACAGTTGAATCATATACAATATTTATTTTCATCTCATTAATAAGTTATTTTGGTTTTAGGACATATATTGCGGATATTTTTGAAAAATGATATCGTGAAAATTAATCGTACTACCCGATGTTTCCACTTTTGAATGGTCCTCATGTATTTTGAGTTGCGTTTTCATAGTGATCGGATTTTTTTTATTTGCATTAGAATATAACTGTTTGAAATATCCTAGATTATTTTATTATCCTAGATTATAGTTCATTATTTTATTTTTCATTTCAGGCAATGCATTTGTGGTGAATGCAGCCCTGTCTGATCTTCTCATCAGTGGTCTTCTAGTGCCATCCTCGGCAGTGGTCCTCTTGGCAGGAGCAGACGATTCCATAGCATTATGCAGATTTCAGTGGTTTCTGGCTTCTACAAGTTTTTTGGTGACCGCATTTACCATGGCCGTAAGTGTAAAATTGATACTTGAGAGACACGAAAAAAATAAATTGGTTATAATATAAAGTGATATGGTAAAAATACGGAATTCAGATCCTAAATTAATGTAACGTACATGGGTTCACCTATTGCTTTGAACCAAAATATTATTATTTATAAATATAGGATAGGGTGAGGCACATAGGGCCGATTTAACTTTGAACAATTATATTGTGAAAACCAAACCAGTTATGTCACAACAAATAACACATATCAAACAACTATCTGGTTAAGTTCAGTAAAACTCCCAGGTAATTCATCATTGTAGAAACGTGTATTAAATGCTGTTTTTCAACATTGTTTTACCTAGATCTTTTTACTCCATAAAGGTATGAAATATAAATTTCATGGATAATTCTTTTACAGAGATAATACTGTATATAACCTTGATTTTGTATTTTGTCAGAAATATTTATCTGTTGGGGTAACTATTTATTTTATAACTTATTTATTTAATAATTAATTTACATTTGTGTTTACTATTTTTTATTGTTCATATACATAAACCTACGTATACCTTTGCCAATGTAAATGTAGTAAGAATTAAAGTGATGGCTTATTATACATCATTTTCCCTCTACTTTCAAATATTATTGGAGTGGCGTGTCCTTTTTACCCTATGAGATAATGTTGAAAAATAGTTAGAGACATTTAATAATTAATTCAAATAAGTGAAAACATAGTACAAATATGTAAAGTTGTTTCGAATTATTTGTAGCCTTATGAATCTTAGTTTTTAATTCTGTCTAACAGCATTTGTTTTTGGAGGCCTGCGAAATCGTATCATTACAATTAAATATCACCATATAAATTTTAAATTTTACCATATTGTTTGTTTTAGAATGAAAAATGAACTAGTGACAAATCAAATATAATTACTCCTTTTTCATTTATACTTGATAATTTATAAATATCCATTAATCAAAATTAAAGATATATGAACTTGTCATTTATAAACACTGACTTATCAAATTGCAAATGAAATTGAAGAAAATATTTTCTATATGCTATTGATGTGTAGAACGAAAATTTATTTTATTATACTTATATAAAGTGTCTAATATTACATCAAATAAAGATAATAAAATATACTGTTTCGATTGTTCGAATTTAAGTTTGAACTCATGAACATGAGAACTGAATTGAAAACATACCTCACGCGACAAGTGGAAAATTTTTGGTTTAATTTATATGATCTTACTCCAAACAAAAAGTTCATGGAATAAAGCACATAAAACGTGATGATTATAAATGTGAATTTTTAGAGTTTATAGGCTCGAATGATATCCTGAATAATAAATTAAAATGAGTAGTCAAGTAGGACAGAGAAAATAAAGACACTTCAATATGTTAAATTCTCACCGTCTAACCTCTAAAGATATAAACTCTAGTTTTAAATCATAAACTTTATTTCTTATTCCAAAATAAGCGTTCATACTGCCTTATTTAATTCATAATATTTAATATAAGAAATTCAAAAACTATTAAAAAATTCAATAATCTTATATATTTACTGCATCAATACCAAAGATAAATAATTAGTATAAGAAGTTTTATTTTTTTAATAGCCCGGTTATAACTCATTTTCTAACAATAGTTGAAAGATTTTTGGTTAACATTAAGTTAGGGATAAAGAATTAAGTTTGGTTTATTAGAATAAAACTCTTTTAAGGTCAACTTCGATCATTTCTCCGATTTTATCGACAATTTCGGCGACTTCATGTAACTATCTGTGCGAGGTGCAACGGAAGTAATTCTAGTGTATTCGTGCATTTATATTTTGTTATCTGTAAAATGGTAGAAAATTATTAAATATTTTAAGCAATTTTAGTAGGTATCACCAAATGCACAAAATTGTCTGTCCCTTAGCACTGGTCGCTAATAAGTCGTCCCTTAGCGCCGGACAGTAAACATATTGATATTTCTTGTGAGAATTTACGTAATTTATTCTAATTATTTAATTTTGTTCTGTATGAGTGCTAACGGTCACTACATACCCCCTTTTTTTGTTTTTTCAAGTCAAATAATCAAAATCTTATGATGAATTCTTCAGCTGAGAGCATCGGTGTGGCCCAGCCAAAAGGGTGGATAATTAGTGATTTTTTTTTATAATATCTAAGAATATTCGTCACAAATGTGCAAACATTCCAGAGTGTGGAGTTGGCTACATATTTCTTCAATGCTGATTATTTTGAAATGTCTGATACTAGGTGCCACTTTGTAAAATCATATTGTTTGTTACCAAAGTTTGATTGATAGTATTAATTATTGTTTAGCAAAGATTGCGTTTTTGTTAATTTAGTTTGATTTCTAACTTTATCTAACATAAGTCATAATTTAATAAACATTTCGTAAAATATTTTTGATTTCTTTATAAATAACCTTAGGTGTCCGACACTCGGGGACTTCCCCCTAGTAGTCCTTTCATTATAGTGAGTTCACCTCGGAATTCGAGATACCCAGCTGTAAGTCTGTAAATACTAGTATATTGACACCCTAAAGTTGTCTCAAAACCTACATATGGTATTGACACTTTACCATAAGTAGGTTTTGACACAACTTTTAGGGTAACAATATACAAGTATTTATAGGCTTACAGCTGGGTATCTCGAATTCCAAGATTCTTACCTAATTTAAGCTTAAATGACTGGACTATAGGTAGTATGGTGTTCTGTTTTTTCATGGAATTTATGCTTCATTTGCTGATGATGCATTATATCCTTAATTGAGTAATATCTTGACAAGAGGCAACATAATTCTACATTGGACTAAACGACTAAAGACTAGAAATTGAAATAATCAAAGATGTTTTTATTTGATATCCATCTTTGGCAAAATTGTTTCCAAATTAAAATTGATGAAATTCTTAATAATAATTTCATTTTCTATTTTTTTTTTAGCTTATAGCAGGAGAAAACCTATCCCGCGTTTATCCTGATCGACCATCCAACAAAGTCTTCCTGACACCAGCAAGGTGCGCCTGCTCGATAGCCCTGGTTTGGTTAGTTTGCGTCATGGTCTGCTCGGTGCCTCAAATCATGAAGAATCAGGAAGCTGAAGACTTAATTATATTAAAAGGCAAATCAATTACAAGAGAAACTATGAACGATGGATTTCCTGGCTTAGATTATTGTGCCAGGAGATTTAGGAAACTGGGAAGACAGCTGGATGATACGGATGAAACGCGGGCGGGGCCTATAGCTTTATTGGTAAGTTAATTGATAATTAATTATATGTAGAAACATATAACATGTCTCGATGAGAAGAGTTTGTTTTTTAAAACCTTTCCATTTATTTTATTTTAATTTATTATTTATTTTAATAGTTTTTTAAAAATTCGTGCTTTGTAAATTGTATAGTAATTGGTGCATTATATTTTCCGTGATTTTTGTTTTTTTTTCAAATTATTTGTATGCACTGAGGATGGGTCAAATCAGGACCCGAAACGTTTGATAATAAAATATTTTACTTCAATAAAATAGTTTCAATTAATGGATGGACGCCCAAAAAACAACTTTTTTATAATATTTCACCATCTGAGAAAACCTTTCAATTTATATATCTATCTTATATATAAAAATGACTGGCAAAATGTGTTGGTAAGCGCATAATTCAACAACGCCTGGACCAATTTGGCCAATTTTTTTTTAAATGTTCGTTGGTGTCCAAGGATGGTTCTTACGATGGCGAGAAAAAATCGAATAATCGAATAAATGAAAATTATCATCTACCATAAATATCAATTTACTTATAACAATAATTTCAATTTCAATTTAATTATGACAATACTAGAATATGTGTAATAAATTTATGATTATGAATAAAAAAATGAAATGTCAACATTATTATTGCCAAAAAGCAGCCAGAAATTAAAATAATATAAAATACAGTTTATGTATGGCAGATTGAATGATACACACATGAACTGGATATGACAAATTAATTCACTTATATGAAATTAGGAAATAATTAGGGCCGGTCCTACATTTAGTGCGATGCATGCGAAAAATACGAGCGCACGTCTTAGGGGGCGTCAACACAAGATTTGGATATTAAATTTTCAATATAGTTTTTTTTTTTCAATATATAATTTCTTTACATCTTTTGATATAATTATTATTTTTAGGTAAACGGTAAATACTAGTATATTATATTAAAAAATTGTAGACAAGGGTACAGGACAACGTCTGTCGGGTTATCTAGTATATATATATATATATATATATATATATATAACAAATGTATTCTTAGTGGATAATAGATATTAATTTGGAAATATGAACCGCCATTAGGAGGAGATGGTTGCAAATTGTTGAATACACTTCACTACCTCTCGAAATATTCATTTCTGGAATAGATTTACTACTGAAGGCCTCATATTTCCAATTCAATAATAAATTTTATACTATGATTAGAGGATGTCCTATGGGAAGTCCTTTAAGTCCCGTTTTAGCAGACTTAGTGCTACAAGATTTAGAGAACAGTGTGTTGAATTCTACAATTTGCAAACGACTACTATATTTTCGATATGTCGATGACACGCTTTTATTAATTAACAAAAATGATACAGAGAACATATTTCAAAAATTTAATAATTATAATCCTCATTTACAATTTACACAAGAATTAGAAAAAGATAACTCTATACATTTTCTTGATGTTCAGCTCATTAACGACGGCGGTATTTGCATTACCAATTGGTTCAGGAAAGATAGCTGGTCAGGCAGGTATATTAATTTTAATTCTTTTACACCTCTCAACATAAAGATATCCACAGTTCTCAGTTTAGTAGACCATGCAATTCTTTTATCTAACCCAAAATTTCATAATCACAATATCAAATTAGTCATTAACACATTACTCATGAATAGTTTCCCTTACAAAATAATCAGTCCAATAATTAAAAATAGAATTAAATTTTTATTAGACAAACAATCAATAACCACACATTGCTCAAATCACTTGTCTGTATCAGAAAATAAATGTTTGGTGAATTTTCCTTATATAGACAAAGATTTACACCTTTTATCTAAAAGGCTTTTTAATAAACATAATATTAACATATCCGTGTCACCCTTACTACAACTGCAAGACATATACACAAACATTAAAGACAATACATCTACTAAAAAAAGAAAAGATGTGGTGTACAAAATAAACTGTTTGAACTGTGAGTCATTTTATATTGGGCAAACATGTCAAAATTTAGAAAAAAGATTAAGACAGCACGAATTACAAAGCAAACAAAGTAAAAATAATAACATACAACAAAAAAGTACACTTGTAGACCACGCTATCTCTAACAGCCATAGTTTCGATTTCAATAATTCGCACATTTTATATTATGAACAAGATTTATTTAAAAGAAGTATTGCAGAATCGATGTTAATAGCCCATACAAGTAACACAGTAAATTTACGGACAGATACCAATATATTACATGATACATATCTGAATCTCATTCATACTTTGTAGCTTATATATAGATGTACATACACTTTTAATTATAACAATGTATAACAAATCTTATAAACAAACCATCTCATCATAGAATATTTTTTCTCCTAACGACATCTATTTTTCAACTGGACCCTAATCCTTTCTTTCCTATCTGATTGAGTGACTTTACAATTTCAAGTGGTTTTCAAGTAGGAGAGAATACGAATACCGAAGACAGTTGATATTAAAAGAGCAGCGTGCAGTGAACGACTTGTAATGAAAAACACAACATGCTAATTTAGATTTCCATATTTTAAAATTTTTTTAATTATAACACACTGATGATGAGACAAACCTAGTCTCGAAACGTTTGTAACAATTATTATTTAATAAATTAGTGCAAAAAGAGTGTTGTTTGTTCATATCTCCAAATTAAATATATATATATATATATATATATATATATATATAAATATATGTATATATACAAATATATATTTACATATATTTCTTTCCATTAGGTGACAGTATGCGTCCCATGTAGTATTGCACTTCTCCTGCACATTTGGGCGCGCCATAGAGTCTCCAAGGAGCAGCAGCGCGCCTGCTCCCGAAGTTCTGAGCACAAAAGTCCGGTAATTTCAACATTATTAGGCATAATATTTATTATAACTTTCTCTTATTTTGACAGTAAAATTTAAGAAGTTTCATTTTTGAATCAGACAAAAATCCAACTGCATCGCCGAGTGTGTATAGTGTACCTTTTATAACTAGAAAAGTTAGCTTCAATTAAAGTAGAGTGAAATAAGTTTCATATTTGTTGTGAAATATGACATATTTAGTCAAATAAATATTAAAATATTTTTATTTTAATGTTTTTAGGAGGAATAAGTTTTGTGAATAATTTTTTAATTAATAAATATATAATGATGAAAATTAAAAATTTAGAGTTTAAAGATAAAAACGGGTTTATTTGCTTCCCGAAGGAAAAGTTTGTATTTTCGCCAGAAAATCCGATTTGCTAATTTTATTTTTAACTTTGTTATATATCTTTACGTTTTTGAGGTTTTTGAAGATTTTGGCATACTTCAGAAAAAATGGATGTATGTGTGTGTATGTGTGTGTGTGTGCGTGTATGTGTGTGTGTGCGGATACAAATTTTCGTCGACGATTTCGGGAACACCGATCATCTGATTAGAATGATTTAAAAAGTATTCGATTCGTATTGATAAGGAGACGGACGTGCTGATTAGTTTTTGGCGAAGGCAGGTCTAGCCGTTCCGAAGATACGGGGCAAAAAGTGCTGAAAACGGTAACTTAGCTTTTAAGAGAATGGAGTGTCCGATTTTAATAATTCAAAAAACATTTTATTTATATTGACAAGATGGAGAACTGATTAAATTTTGGGAAGGCAGACCTGACGATTTCGTTGTCTAGTAAAAAAAATAAAAAAAACATTTGGTGGCCAAAAATGATCACTAGACATATGCACATCAAATTATCATATATTATAATAATGTGTATCAATTTTGTTTACATTGCTTTGGGATCCGTAACATCTGTCGTTCGTTAGACGGCGACGCGGCGCTTACGCGCTTCGATATTTCGCTTTGAAAAAAAGTTCAAAATTTTCAATATATTTCAAAATAAAAAAACGAACTTTTTTTTCAAGTTTTTTTTTCAAAAATTAATTTTTGGTACGGGAAGTTTCAGTAATTTGCCTTATGCACGATGCCATACACTTCTAGTTTTATTTTTGTTTTCTCGTCATTTCATATCAATCTGAATCGTATGAGATCTGTAAAAATTATATGTGAGTATATGTGAACCGAATTTTGTTTTTTGTTTCTCATAAACGGCTGAACTGATTTCAAAAAATTTATTAGTCTGGCTGTTTCTTTATAATTGAGAAAAGTGCAAAAATTTTGGACCAAAACCGATTTTGTAGAATTGAAAACAAATCAAAAGATACCATTTTGGAATAGTGATTAATTTTTGGCAAAGTTGGGTCATGCCCTTGCTTCGTAATTAATTGTTAAGATTTTTTTCATTTTTAATGAAATTCATAGTCTGAACGAACATTTTAAAAATTGAATTGAATTGAATCGATTGCAAATCACATTGATTAGTTTTTCATGAAATCGAAAATTTTATTTTAGAAATAAACAGTTAGAAATTTTATAGCTAGATCTGAGCTCTTATTGATTAAGTAAGACGATGATTTACGCCCAGTTTCGCATTTTGTTCAGAGATGCAAATTAAACCTAAGTTAATCATAAGTTATCTTTGAGATTCGTATTAAATAATGGATAAATAGATGGACAAATGCTTAAATTAAGTATATATATTGGTATTCACTATAAGGTTATGCTTTATGAAATTAATATTGACTGCAATATATTTAAGATATTAAACTATTACCAAATTGCCGTACAATTTGGTAAAAATATAGTACTTCTTTGCTGATTATTTATCCTATTGTTAATTTTATAATTCTAGAGTGGATCCTCATCTCGTTTGGGAGTCTTGCAAATATCTTGCTCCTTCGATCCTGATCTCGCGCGTGCCAACTTGGCAGGTTTGTGCGCATTCCTGATGTGCTGGTTGCCTTTCGGAGCTTGCTTCGTACCAGAACCGAATCTCGTACCTGATTCGGCTTTGTACAATACGGCCTGGTTAGCATATAGTCGAAGTTGCTTGAATCCATTACTGTATTGTGCATTAGATGGCAGGTAAGTAGAAGATAAATGATAATCAAGATTATCAGTTCTTTCTACATCGTAGCAAATGTTAGATTCCTACTAGGCTTGCAACGAATAGTATATTCGGCAAAATGCCGAATACCGAATATTCGGCATGCTCCAGAGACCGAATACCGAATATTCGGCAACTATCCGGCAGGTTTTTGGCGCCTAAGCTCATTTGTATTAAAGTAATTACTAGCAGTAATTATTATATTACTAGCGCGCTACATGTTTATTCAAGTTTTATGCCTAGACTTGCAACCACTATTCGGCTACTCTTTGTTATTTGGAATATTTGGCATCACTCATACTATTCGGCCGAATACCAAATACTTGAATACTACATGTGATAGGAAAATAAATGGTAAAATCATGAAAAAAGCGATTCTTTACATATACTTATGTAAATGTATTTCTAATTATTTCTTTTATAAACATTTAATATTTTCTTTTATTAACTCGAGTTTAATTATATTGATCTATATTATTTTTTATATTTTAGGAATGCTAATCATAATAAAATAAATAAAAAATGATCAAAAATATTGTTTGTATATTTTGCGATAGAGCCAATAAGAGCTCTTTATTTGGAAATGCTTAGATTGAGTATATTGAATGACTGTATTGTATTAATACAACACATGCGTGTAACTTGTATATCTTGTGAATATTCAGAAAAAAGTTATTCGCGTGTTCATTTTTGTAATCTCAAAAGTCGATAAAGTTTAAATTATTATATATACAATAACGAAATCATTTCTTCATATCATATTATGTAAACTTCCAAAATACAGATCCATCGCGAGCTCTTTATCGTATAAAAGTTAAAACTCAAACAATACTGGCGCTGAGCGGCGGCGGTGCCTTTGATTTTAACTATTCGGTATTCGGCCGAATAGTAAGTTACTATTCGGTATTCGGCTGAATATTAAAAAAGGTGTCGAATATGCCAAATACCGAACAGTAACCGAATATTCGGTGCAAGCCTAATCCCTACTAAAAATTTTATAATTTTTATTAACTACTTTTAGGTTCAGAAACGCTTATGTGAACCTATTCCACTACTGTTGTTGCAAAACAACAGTATCTTTCTCACGTCGTCAAAGAGGTTGTGGATCTAATTCAGGAGCTGGTGACTCCAGGGGCGGAATGGAGAGCGGTTTGGGCAGATCAGGAGGCGACGTCAGGGTTCACATCATTCCTGGGTACAACATGTACTCCTACACCAGCCCACAAAGACCATGCAGGCAAAATGGACGTGATGTATATGAATTATGATAAATAGGTACTGGATTGAAAGTTTATTATGCATATCGATTATTTATTTAATTTCATACCGACGTATTGGGTTGGGCGAATAAAAATATTGGAATTGAAAAACAGGTTTAACAAATTGTTGAACATTCGAATATTGGAATCAAGTTGTTATGTTGGTTAGTATTTACTATTTATATTCCAACTGGTTAGTTGTTAAGTCCAAGATTGAAAATATTAAACGTTAAAAGAGATGCAAGTTTGGTAGGTTGAAGATTTTATAATCTACCAGGATTCTTGCTAAAATACTTGCAATATAAAAAGAAATTAATATATTAACGATCGAATGATGTCGTCAAAACATTAAGTGATGTTATTAGAATCATTTCCGTTAATCATATGAAATTAATGAATCTAAAATCATTTGGATGGATTGGTGGATGCCAGTCCATATTGTTACTGAACTATCCATATAAATTTAACTAAGATAATAATTCAAATTTTTATCTAACCAAAAACAACCATCGACCAATTTATTGAAAACTGATACAATACAACTTTCGACTGATCTTTGATAGTATAAAGGAAAACATTTTTACACACAATTTATATTAACGTGTTTATATAAAGATTGTGTGGTCTTTTTAGTACCATGATTTATTGTTATTAAAACAAATATTTAAAGAGTTTATTTTTTTTTTAAATTGAATAGGTTCAAAGAATGCTGACATTCGATTGATATGTCTAATTCTTCAGGAATTTCTGCTGAAATAATATACTTTTATAAATATACGCTTTAATTTTGATAAAGATAACAAGAAATGTTATTTATAAAGTTGACATAATATGATACTCTCATATAGAGTAGGTATAATATATCATTCTATGGTCGTTATCAACAGCAACAACGTCGAACAACTTAATCATTTCCACGAATTTTTAACCCTTTCCACTCGCGAATTGCGAAATTTGTATGTATTTTGCTGCGGGAGCGGCGGCATCCGAGTGGAAAGGTTTTTTTTTTTCAAGTATCATTCTTGCACTATTATCTTATTTTGAATAAAAAGTTAACACGAGAGTAGTAAGGTGTATAAAGATTTTGTCGATATTAAAAAATGTTTTTATAAAAAATATGTATTTTGCCCTAACATGGTATTTCATCTATCAATAAGAAACGTATATCAATTGTAAAATGTACGATAAATAAAATCGACATTTTGTCACAACTTATGATATTTAAGTAACATTGATGAAGATAATATAGAGGATAATTCTTTTTGTATAAATGACAATTAGTTAATAAGTATTTTGTGTAATTTTATTCAATGTTGCCTTGTTAAAACAGTGGAGCTTTAAATGTTTTTAAACAAGACGTATTTTGATTAGATTTAATATGTGCATTTAATGTATTTTAACGACTCACATGTACTGATTGTAAGTATTTTCGAATAATGAACGATCGATTTTTTGCTTCTAACATTTTGTTTATAAAAAAAATATGTTATAGGGTAAAGCGGGGCTTAAAGGTCCTCGGGTGAAAAAGTCCAAAACCGATATCTCAAAAACCAGTAAAGTTAAAAAAAATTAAACAACAATATTTGAAAGAAGAGGGCATAAGATGTATAACCAGTCAAGACCTTGATCTTAAGTCGTTGAATGTTAGAAAATCCATAACAAAAGTATTTTCTTTCGTTGTTTGTTATTTTGGTTGTGAGCACTGTTGTTCAGTTTCCCAGACCTTAATATAATTTTTAAGTGTACGTAATTATATTTTTATTTATATTTATATTTATATTTATATTTATATTTATATTTATATTTATATTTATATTTATATTTATATTTATATTTATATTTATATTTATATTTATATTTATATTTATATTTATATTTATATTTATATTTTCTTTATATTTTCTTTCTCTTTCTCTTTCTCTATTTCTCTTTATCTTTCTCTTTCTCTTTACTCTTTCTCTTTCTTTCTATTCTCTTTATCTTTCTCTTTCTCTTTCTCTTCTCTTCTCTTTTCTTTCTCTTTCTCTCTCTTTCTCTTTCTCTTTCTCTTTCTCTTTCTCTTTTCTCTTTCTCTTTCTCTTTTCTCTTTCTCTTTCTCTTTCTCTTTCTCTTTCTCTTTCTCTTTCTCTTTCTCTTTCTCTTTCTCTTTCTCTTTCTCTTTCTCTTTCTCTTCTCTTTCTCTTTCTCTTTCTCTTTCTCTTTCTCTTTCTCTTTCTCTTTCTCTTTCTCTTTCTCTTTCTCTTTCCTTTCTCTTTCTCTTTCTCTTTCTCTTTCTCTTTCTCTTTCTCTTTTTCTCTTTCTCTTTCTCTTTCTCTTTCTCTTTCTCTTTCTCTTTCTCTTTCTCTTTCTCTTTCTCTTTCTCTTTCTCTTTCTCTTTCTCTTTCTCTTTCCTCTTTCTCTTTCTCTTTCTCTTTCTCTTTCTCTTTCTCTTTCTCTTTCTTTCTCTTTCTCTTTCTCTTTCTCTTTCTCTTTTCTTTCTCTTTCTCTTTCTCTTTCTCTTTCTCTTTCTCTTTCTCTTTCTCTTTCTCTTTCTCTTTCTCTTTCTCTTTCTCTTTCTCTTTCTCTTTCTCTTTCTCTTTCTCTTTCTCTTTCTCTTTCTCTTTCTCTTTCTCTTTCTCTTTCTCTTTCTCTTTTCTCTTTCTCTTTCTCTTTCTCTTTCTCTTCTCTTTCTCTTTCTCTTTCTCTTTCTCTTTCTCTTTCTCTTTCTCTTTCTCTTTCTCTTTCTTTTCTCTTTCTCTTTCTCTTCTCTTTCTCTTTCTCTTTCTCTTTCTCTTTCTCTTTCTCTTTCTCTTTCTCTTTCTTTTTCTTTCTTCTCCGCTGTCTTGTTCCTTTTCCGTCCGCTCCCCCAGTTTTTTTATATAACATCTATAAAAGCTTACACCTGGGTGGGGTAAAGAGGACCAACTAAACATTTACCCTGGCAAAAAATAAAAAAAGTAGTAAATAAAAATAAAAAGTTTAAAAATTAAAAAATTGTAAATAAAACCGTGAATTAAGTTTGAAAAAGCAATTTAACAAGAGTTAAATTGAATAAACAGTTATTCTTACTCCAGATCAAGGTTATTTACAGTGTTATCTCTGTAAAAAATGCATCCATAAAATTTATTTTTTGCATTGGTTGAACAATGTAGCTATTATTTTGTATATCTCTTCAAAATTAAAATAAGACATTGGACCTATTTGCCCAATGGCCGTCCCGATTTAACCCGCCTGAGGGGTAAAAAGGGCCAGGTCACAATTTTTTGAAAAACAGCAAAAGGACACCTTTCTACAATGGGATTTTCACTGAATATATTCAGATAGTTATTTGATATGGGTTATTTATTGTAATATGATTGGTTTGGTTTTCACAATAATAATTGCTCAAAGTCAAATTGGACCTTTGTGTCCAGCCTACCGTATTTATATTAGGAAAAGAAGCTATTTGTAGTAAAATCTTGCAAATAGCTTTTGATTGAGAGAACAAGTTTTAGAATTAGTATCGATCAAGTTATTATTCTGAAAATGCTTACAATACTTAATTACTATAAGTATAAAATTTAAGTTAAAAATCCGGCCTAAAATAAATTAACCAACACTCATATTAGAACTCCAAACAACTGATATGTAAAATTTTCTTCAGGAAAATTATTATTCAATCACAAGACACAAAAAGCACTTTAGTGAATTCTGATATTTCACTGAACTTATATATGTATTTGATTGTATTTAAATCAAGTTAAAACTTACTTGAATTGGGAAAATGAATTGGATTTATTGGATTTTTTCAAGAAATCTACAACTGATGACAAAATATTGGTAAATATTTGTTTGACTGGTACTGGTTGAAACTGGTTGAAATTTACAATTCCAAGAGCATAGAATTCGCAGTTTGTTTTTGAAAGATTATGAATAAAATGATCAATGGCAAACGTCACTATTTATTATAAACTTTCTGCGCCTGCGACTTCGTTCGCGTAGAATTTGACAAAATAGTTAAAAGTTTTTGTATTTTTATTTAAATTTCCATTTAATTTTAGTTTTCTATGTTATATATATATTTATTTTTTTTCATATTTGGTATAGAATTTTCTTGAGGAACAACTAAATGTTAGGGCTTTTTTGTGTTCAACGGAACTTTCTTTTGGTTGTGAAAAAATAAAAAATCCAACTTCTAAATATTTATTTTAAAATGTAATAAGTATCAATATTACTAACTAAATAAAATTAAATATAAACTAGTCGTGTACGGAATCGTGCCTTAAGGCAAATTGCTGGAACTTCCCGTAGCAAATTTTTTTTTCACAAAGATTAATTTTTTTCTGAAACGTAAAGATATATAAACATTTTCATTTTCAATTTTTTGCGATTACTTTAACTTACCCTACGGGAACTTAATAATTGATTGAATGTAAATTTGAACATTAAAGCCAAACTTACTTAATTCAGAATTATTATTTAGTTGTACACTTAAGACGATTCCCAATTACATGGCTGCATCTAGTTCGACCCTGGTATGAACCATTGAAAAGCTGAAAAGGAAAATTCGCACACAGTGTATTTACCGTTATTTAGCGTATAAAAGGGAACCTGAATCTAATCAGAGTCTCTTTTACCTACTTCAGCCAGGTATGGTGTAAAGTTCTTGTAAACAACGTATATATATAACAAAGTATATCCGTCAGAAATAAAAGTATCAGGTAAAGAAGCATTTTGTAATATTTTTAACCTTTTTGCTACGAGCGTCGTCTATAGACGACATCTGCATGACTACCGTGTGTACAGTGTTGCCTTTATACTATACCCAGTTTTTAGAGTAGAGTAATTTAGTTGTTTAGAGTTAAATTAATGAGAAGCCCTTTTTTTTATTATAGTCTTTAGTTCTTTATAAATGTAATTTTTATTTTGAATACTGATTGATCATGATGAAAAAATTAACTGGGCGGGTTGCTGTTCCATATAGCAGTGTCACTTCTCGGTAGCAAAAAGGGTTAATATTTTTTTTATTTACTTTCATGAATTACAATCTGTCGTTATAAACAACATTCAGTAATTTTAATGTTTTATTATATAAGGGAAAAGGTTGAAAGGTCACCCAGTGGTGATCCGTTTCGATTTTAATAAAAGGGTTAATATGTTTAATTTTATTGTTTTAACCAGTACAACTTATACTTAAAAAAATTGGATTTGTATACTGTTGTTTAAAAACTAATTCCAAAGTTGCAACACAAATGTGTAAAATCCGTCGATTAAAAAAATAATTTATAATAAAATTACAAAAACGCGTATTATTAGGTCCTATTATGCAGTAAATGCAAATGAAATTATTTTTTTGTGAATAGCATACTCTAATTAATAACGAAAACTTATAAATATAAAATGAAATATTAATATGTACTTATTTTCAGCAAAACAAGATAATTTTTTGGACAATTGGCGTATAATTGTTTTATTTTAAATTTGTTTTAAAACTTAATGAAGTGTTTTTGAATATCAGTTAAGTAGTACAAAAATTCTCAACTGATATCTTTCGGATGGTTTTTAAATTTTTGAAAATTTTCAAGAAATCGTTTTCCAAATAATGCTGATTGCAAATTAATGTGGATTCACATTCGAAAATCACCCAAATCTAAACAGCTTGTAAATAATTTTACCAAATGACTTATAAATTTCATAAAACACACACAAATACTTACTTTTATTTGTGACAAACGTTTCAGCATGCTCTGAAAAATATGGAATGTATAAAAGTCGATTTTTCTACGAAAATATGAA